AGATTGAAGTTGCGATCGGCTAGAAGCGCGCCCGAAGCCCTGCGCACCACGCGTCCCACGTGTTGTATTGGGCGGTTTCGCAGAACGAACTCCAGTTTACGGCTGGGCCCGCGGGCCTTTCCTCTTGCGACAGTGGCTCGTAGGTGCTCGGCGACGTCACAATGACTCGCCACCAGTCCATGGCGAGGCCCCGCAGCAATGACACGGCGTACCGGATCTTCGCTGCATCTGACGTGACGTAATTCGCGTAAAAAAATCGTTCATCGTGAAAACCCACGATTGAACCGTCGGACCTCCACGCTGGCAAGGATCGAAGCAGGGCGGGCACTGCGGCTTGAGTGGCATCGGCTCACAAATGTCGTTGTTGCCGGCAGGTGCGTTGATGCTGACATGACGGCGAGCCTCGCGTGGTACTTTTACGCCCGGTGCGGTCCTGGTTCTCTCCATGCCTGGCATTGATTGTGCGGCGCCATCGCTGATTGCCCCTAAGCGTTGTCCCACGCTGTCGTGCTGCGATGGTGCTCCCGACGAAATGATAATCGGCTCGTCTGATTGTGCCGGTGCATTTGCGGGTGCTGGTCATTTTCCCTTGATTGCTGCCGGGTGGAGTCGCGTTCCGCCGTGAGCGTCGCAATTTCGAGCGACGATTCCTCGAGTTGGTGCAGGAGTTCGTCGAGGCGCTCTTGCGTCAACGTCGCGAGTTGGAATTCGGCCATGGCGGGGGTGTCGGGTGAGCTCAGCGAGAGCCTCAGTCGTGGCTGAGTGTGCTTACGAAAGAGCGCACGAGCAGCGGTGCTTGGTCGCTGAGAGACGTCTCCCCCCTCCAAAAATTGAGATAATGGGGAAGCGAAGGTGTGGGCGCGGTCCAAGAAGGGACCGTAGGCTCTGAATACTATGTGTTACGAGTGCAATTGAGTGAGCGAACGAAGATTGCACTATCGAAGCAAGAGTATCATGAGAGAAGGAATGAGCGAACAATATATAGCGAAAGCCTAGCATGGTAACGGTCATGCGCGAGAATGTGGTGCGCGACGGGCCTGGCGCCGAGGTTGCGAAATGTCGAGGCGGAGTGTCAAGAAGCTAAAGCAAGTAAGGCTTAGGAGCCATAGTTTGAGTAGCTTAGGAACTTAGGTTTTAGGGTTGAAGAAGAGTAGCGAGAAGTTTGCCAAAGCAAAGAGTGGCTTCACTATAGAATTGCAAGTACAAATAGATAGAGAAACATGCAAGGAGTGGTGCACCACCAATCAGGACAGCTATTTAAGTACACTACAGCTAGAACTACATGCACTTATACAGAAACATATATAAAATGTATTCTGACACACCCCCTAAGTGCATGCAGGAATAGCCATGTGCAGAACACCCCTTGAAGTGGTACACCCTGCATGGCGCAGCAGAAGAAGAGGGCAAGTGAGGAGGAGGAGGGACTATGAGAGGAGAGGAGGTAGGAGGCGGCAGCTGAAGCTGCTGGCACACGGGCGACTGGAGCAACTGGCACACAGGCCACCGGAGCAAGGGCATCCGGACTACTGGAGTAACTGGCTCCGCGGCTAGACAAGCGGCTGGAGCAACTGACCCACGGGCGTCTTGAGCAACGGGCTCACGGGCTACCGGAGCAAGGGCATCCGGACTACTGGAGCTGCTGGCTTCATGGCGGCTACCTCCTTACAACCTCCCCCCATTGTCCCACACCCCCTTTTCACACCCCCTTCTGCATCCCTAGCGCCACTCCCTCGGCTTCCCCACACCCTCCCCCCATCAGCGGCAGCTGCAGCAGTGGGAGAGAGAGGAGGAGGAGGAGCAGCAGATTACTCACACCCGCCACCCCGTACTTGCCACCCCCATACCCGCCACCCCCATACCCTCCCCCCCACGGCTGCACGCGCAGCAGGGAGAGGAAGGAGAAGGGGGGGCGGGGGGGGGGGGGGCGGGGAAGAGGCTGCCCCGCGGCAACAAAGGGGCGGCGCGCGGGTGCACGGGGCGGCGCGCGGGTGCCACGGGGCGGCGCGCGGGTGCACCGGGGCAGCGCGCGGGTGCACGGGGCGGCGCGCGGGAGCAGCGGGGCGGCACGCGGGTGAACGGGGCGGCGCACGGGTGCCACGGGGCGGCGCGCGGGTGCCACGGGGCGGCGCACGGGTGTAAGCAAACCGTCGCGCGCCCGGGGCGCGCGACGGGCAGAAAACCGCCGCGCGCCCGGGGCGCGTGGCGGGCAGAAAACGTCGCGCGCCCGGGGCGCTCGACAGGCAGGAAAATAGTCACGCGCCCGGGGCGCGCGACTGAAAGAACAGCAGCGGAAGCGAACGGTGGGCCCATTAGGTCTTAGGAGCTTCATCGTTCTGATACCATGTCAAGAAGCTAAAGCAAGTAAGGCTTAGGAGCCATAGTTTGAGTAGCTTAGGAACTTAGGTTTTAGGGTTGAAGAAGAGTATCGAGAAGTTTACCAAAGCAAAGAGTGGCTTCACTATAGAATTGCAAGTACAAATAGATAGAGAAACATGCAAGGAGTGGTGCACCACCAAACAGGACAGCTATGTAACTACACTACAGCTAGAACTACATGCACTTATACAGAAACATATATAAAATATATTCTGACACGGAGGACCGGAACGCGGGTTACCAACCGAACCGTGAGGTTGGGTCGCGATGTGTACCGTGGCGGGAACAGTGGTCGAGGCGAGTGTCGCGAGCGGGTAACGTTTTTCTATTGGGTGCTGTTGGCGGGAACCGTCGTGTACGTCGTGTACTCAAGTACCCTAATTGTTTTGCAGTTGATGGTTGGAGCTTGGCTGCGATTGGTCGACGCGGTGCAAGGGGTGCAGCGAGGGGTGAAGGAAACTGAAATCGTTTGTTTGTGTCAGAACCTTGTAGGCATGGAATTTGGTTCGGTTAGAATGCCACAAATTTGCCGAAAGTATCATGTCTCTGAAATTGTTTTGCATTTGGTGCTGGGGCAAAAACTTGGGAGTGTCGCACGCCGAACTGCCAAGCCAACCAGTCTACTTCGCCTACAAAAACGAGGTAACTCAGCGTCAACTGTTTTGCAATTGATGCCAATTTCTTTTACTTGAGATCCTGGCTTTAAGCAGGGGCGCGAAGTAAGGAAAATGATTTTTCCTTACACATGGCTTGATTTTCTCTTATTTTGTAACAATTTTCGTTCACCGATTGTGGCTTTCCGAAAGTTCTTGTGATTCGAGCCAAGTCCCGATACGACATCTCGCGAGTTTCGTTAGCCCGAGTAACCAGGCCCACGACGAGCTTCATCAGCAAGTGCAGGCTGGGCAGCTGGCTGAGTCAGCAAGGTCCCCACTCCACCCCACCAAGCTGCGTCGGCTGATTGTGTGCTGCTGATTGGGGGATGGTCCCCTCCCCAAGCGCAGTTCGAGCCGGGCGCGAGGTTCGTCCATTGGTTCTCTCGCCAAGTGGTTCGGGAGAGCTGGGTCCACCCGCTGAGCATCACGTGGCTCGGGTGACGACGAGGCGAGGGCATCCGCTCCGCCTCTCTTGCGCTCCCCTCTCTCGAGCACGAGTTGATTCCCCTCCCCTCCGCCTTTCTTGCTGTCAAACAGAGCCGATCTTCACTTCACCAAAAGGAATCCGCTGTTGGCGGTATCTCACAGCGGTTTTTGCCAAACCTTCGAGTTTTGTCTAGGGACTTCGAACACCTTTGTAACCATGAACCCGCAACGACAGTTAGGTTAGGAGGCACGCGAGTCGCGTGACGCGACAACCATGGTTAAGGTACTATAAGAGTGCAACAGACAGGCAGGCTGTACAACCTCGACGATTTCTACTGTGTAACGCCGTGCTACAGCAGCTGAGACGTTTGGCGGTGCGATGGGTGTAACGATGGAATGGAACCAATCGTATTGTGGGCCAAGATCGCTGCACTGCGTGTACTTGTAACTTCCTGCACAGTAATTCTGCCAAGTACAGATACTGTTCAGAAAATCCCCCGGCGATCATAAACAGGCTGTTTTCCGACAAAGCTGGAACTCCCCCTATGGTTTTGGGCCTTGGGACTTCCAAAAGGTGCGCGATGCATGCGTGCGAGACACGGTTCTTTTCTTGGTTGCCGTTCCACCGAGCTGGGTATCTGATGTGGCAGGTCCCGCCCTGCTGTTTTGGACAGGACCGAGCACGTTTTTTGCGGAATGAGAGACTTGATATCGCCAACGCAAAAAAAAAATATTGTTCACCATCATTGCGTCTGTCAGATGAGTTATCTCCACGCTTCCCGCGAGTCAAAGTCAGCCTCCGCTGCCCGTCATGTGGAGGAAGTCGCAGGGGTGCAAGGGACGACGAATCATACCCTTTCGAAGTGTTGTGATTCGTTGGCTGCTCACCGACACGGCTGCAAGCAAGCTCCAAATCCGGGTTGGAAAAGCACCCCGGCAGCATCGGTGTGTGGAGAGCCCCTTTATAATGCTGGTTTCGGAGTTTTGGAGTCCAAACTGGTCGTCGCAATTGATGCCAAAAACACTCTTTTGGCGCACATCCGGTTTTCAACCAATTAGAGTATTTTTGGACTCTCGAGGACAGTTCTCCCAGTGGGTTTTGTGAAAAATAGGGCAGTGGCTCACCTGGAGAGATTTCAATGCGCAGCATTGCAACGCGGCTTTGCACCGCACGCTGCGTGAGCATAGAGCGTCCCTGCATCCCAAAGAATCTAACAACCCCGCGTGGGCAATGCCTGGTCATTACACGTTGTGCTATGCCGGCTGGGCAAAGTCGTCTTTGTGCATGGATAGTGCCCGCGTGGAGTACCTGAGAGACATGAAAAAGATTCTCGTCATATTCTTATTCGACTCGGCGAGTGGTTATGGTATTAAGTAATTCCACTATAGGCATAGCACACGCAGTCAGCGATTTTCTTTGTTTTCCTAATCTAAAAACTAGGGAATTCGAATTCCCGACTGTCCGTTCGGAGTAACGCGGCTAGGGGTTCTTCATCGCCTCAAAATCGACGAAGACGTTCTGCCGGCAAGAGCGCGTCAATGGCATTAGAGTTTGCCGCACCGACTTTGCACGAGCACTTGGCAAATCCTCGGCAAGCGGCTGGTCGTGAGCAAGAGTGGGGCGGCTGTGACTCACAGCTGTCACTTGGCCGGCAGGAGCTTGGGCTGCGTGGGTTGGCCTCCTCGGAGGAGGTGATGGTGAAGGTGGTGGCCTCGGATGGGCACAGCTGGCTCAAGTACGGTCGGAAGAAAGTGCGCCATTCGGGTGCCACCAGGTCAGTGTTTCATTGGCTTGCCGCGTTCAGCGTAAGGATTGCGTTGACCCCCATTGACTTTCGTTGACTCTGGTGCACTTCCGCTGAATCTGGTTGAGCTATGTCGTCGTCCCTTGTTTGTCCGATCATGACTTAATTTGACTCCTGTTGACTCGTATCATGCCCTTATGCTGCAGTTCGGAATCCACCCTCTTGCCCCAGCAGGTGCTAGTGCAGTCTCTCTAAGGCAATCTGACTCTTTGACTCTGTGTATGTCCTTATGCTGTGCGCCGGAATCCACCCTCTTACCCCAGCAGGTGCTACTACAAGTGCAGCATGTCTAAGGCCATCCCTCGCTGCCCCGCCAGGAAGACTGTCGACATAAAAAGCCCCGACTCTATTCATGTCACCTACCGATGCCGCCTCCACAACCACCCCGTAGTTCCCAACCGTCGCTCACCCTACTACCACCCTAACGTTCCTGTCGGCGATACAAACTGCCGTGCCGACCACCATATCAACCTTACAGCTTCACAAGGTGTGGTTGGCCCTGCGGCACCTGGCACCGTTCAACCTGATGCTTCTGGTGGGGAATTGAAGGCGCTCGTGCAAGCTTTGCAGCATGAGAGCGTGGGAGTGATTGCTTCTGGCCGTGGGACCGACGCTCGTTGTGCTGCTGTTGCTGCTGATGGTGGTGCTGGTGATGCTGCTGTTCGGCTTGCCGCTTCTTGTGGCGACTGGGAGGCCCTCGTGCCAGCCTTGCAGCATGAGAGCATGGGAGTGATCGCTTCTGGCAATGGGTCCGACGCTGGTTGTGCTGCTGCTGCTGCTGGTGCTGGTGATTCTGCTGTTCGAGCTGGTATGGCTGCTACTGGTGCAGGTGCTGCTGCTGCTGCTGCTGATGGTGATGCTGGTGGTGGTGGAGGCTCTGCTGGTGCTGCTGTTGTTGCCGCTTCTGCTGACGGTGGTGGTGCTGCTGATGCAGATTGGGCCGCCGATCTGACAAACGAGGTGTTCTCACTGCTGGGAGCAAGACCGCCTTTGGTTCAAGAGCTCCGAGAGCTTTTACAGCGGCGCAGTCTCACCCATGTGGGACTTCTATCAGACGGTGATGAAGAGATGGTGGTGGATGAGGAGGAGCAGACAGCAGCTTGTGTGAAGAACATTCCAAAGAATCCCTTGCTCGTTATTCCTTGTGAAGTGCAAGAAAGGTCGTTGCACCGTTCCCCTGAGTCGCTTCAGAAGGACGACCATCGTGCATGCGGAGTGGGGGAGAATCCAGAACGTTTCTTTAGGTTCCACGTGCCACCGCGTGAGGGGAAAGAGGGGTTGGTGCATAATTCCTTTGGGGCGCCTCAAAAAGGGGACGGGAATGAGGAGCTGGAGCACGGACGTTCAGAAGCCGTGCTGCCAAGACCACTGAGGCCTGTTGCGGTTGCTGCTGTGTCAGGCGGCTGTGCTGCTGTGACTGGCGGTTGTGCTCCTGTCACTGAAGGCTGTGCTCCTGTCACTGATGACTGTGCTCCTGTCACTGATGGCTGTGCCCCTGTTACTGACATCTGCGCTGCTGTGACTGATGGCTGTGCTCCTGTTACTGACGGCTGTGCCCGTGTCACTGATGGCTGTGCTGCTGTGACTGACATCTGTGCTGCTAAGGCTGACAGATGTGCGGCAGTTACTAAAGGCCGGTCAGCATCGCATGCTCCTGGGCTTCTCACCCGTTGGGATGCGCTGCAGGTGCTTTTTGAGTTGACACACAATTCATCTTTGGCTAGCAGCTATTCTGCATCCGATGCTCCGGAGATTCAAGCAGAGCGGGATGCGCTGTCACAGCAGCAGCAGCAGCAGCAGCGGCGGCAGCGGCAGCAGCAGCAGCAGCAGCAGCAGCAGCAGCAGCAGCAGCAGCAGCGGCGGCGGCGGCGGCAGCAGCAGCAGAAGCGGCAGCAGCATCTGGAGCTACAGCAGAACCAGCAGCAACAACCACCACTGAAGGAGCAGCAAATGCAACTCAAGCAGCAACATCATCATCAGTCACACAATATCACGGCTTTGCTGCTGTCGATTGCGAAATCTTCCAAAGAGCGCCTCGCGGCCCTAGACATTCTCAGGACTGTGCCTGCTGCTGCGCCTGCTGCTGTGCCTGCTGCTGTGCCTGCTGCTGTGCCTGTAGCTGTGCCTTCTGCTGTAGCTGCTGCCGTGCCTGATGTTCTTTCCAACCTTGGCGATGCTGCTGAAACGAGAACTCCTCATTCGCTCGTACCTGGGCGTGTCCGTAGGCATCAGAAGCGCCCTGCATCTTCCATGGATACACCTCCACCTGCTGCTCCTCCACCTGCCCTTTCCCGTGCCTGTGTCCGATTCTCACGGCCTCGATGGGAAATTAAGCCTGACATGGCCTGTACCTTGTGGGCGTGTGAGTGCAACAAGCCTGAGGAGCTGCATATCACGGGTGCTGTTTGGACTGAGCCTGCTCTTTGTGCCTGCAGAGGTTCTTCTTCCCGAGACTGCGCCTCTGTCGCTGCCCGTGACTGTGCCTCTGCCTCTGCCCATGGCTGTGCCTGTGGCTCTGCCTGCCAGCACATGGAGGATGAACCGCCTGAGCAGCCTCGTACCTCCACCGTTGTTGAGGCGCCCCGCATTGCTGTGCCTCCCGAGATTGTTGAGCTGCCCACCATCGTTATGCCATCAGCCACGTGGCTTTGTGATGAGGAAGGTTCCACAACACCGACAACACCAGTATCACCTATTCCAGTGACCAGAAACAGTAGCATCTCAGGCGCGGGTTGCAACAACAGCAAGCCCTGCAGCCCCGTCTGCAATTCCTGCTGCACAAGCAATGCAGATACAGCACAAGAAGCTTCAGCACCGTCTGCCAGCCCCCCACTGCCAAAGGTCTCAAATCTCATAGTACCGCTTGAATCCACGCAAGCCTCCTGCAGGCCATGCCGTGTGCAGGCTCGGTGGAGAGGACACCCTTGAGCCGATGTGTTAAAGCCCGCCTACCCGTAGGCCCAGTGATTACAGTGGGCTCAGTTCCACGTGAAGTGTTTCGAATGCCAGCCCAGCAGGGAATGGTTGGGCCCTCAGCACAACAGGGAATGGATTGGCCCTTGATTCCGGCAAAAACATTTGCATTCCTGGGAGGGGCCAGCACCGCCCGGGTTTCAGACTTTGCCGCGGCTGGCATGCGGCACGAACTGCAGTCTTGGCTCGATGGTGTCTTGTATGTAAAGGTCTAATATAAATACAGGTGTACATGGTACTTTGGATTTGCAGGCACACCAAATCTGGTACAGCAGTGCTTGTCCTTTGTGGCAGAATCTTGTCTGGATTTCGGCTTTTGTTGATGTCACATTTGCACTGCCATACATGCCCATTGGGTGGACCCCCACTTTACAGCCCCCCACCTTGTAAGGTACCCCACTCTTATACCAATACTCCTTTGTGACAGAATCTCGTCTGGCTCTCGATTTTTGTGAGTGAGTGCCACATTTGCACTACCGTACGTGCCCATTATAAGGACCCCCACTTTACAGCCTCTCACCCCGTAAGGTCCCCCTATTCTCATACACATGCAATATATAGCCCCATCCCCATGCCCACCATCCCTAGTGCCATCCACAAGACCATCCTTAGTCCCATTTCTTTGCCAATCATTCCTACCATCCCCCAAGCCCATCCCGAGTGTTGGGCTGAGAAAAGCCCTTAGGATCTTGTCAGAATGTCGATGTTTGTCTAGCCTGCAGTGGGGTACTCTATAGCGAGTACAACCCAATTAGGGTTTCCTGTATGTATCTCAACTGCTGCTAGTGAAAACCTCTCTTTCCTGTTTCTCGTTTTCGTCTGTTGTTTCGACATGCTATCAGAGCAGGTCGACCCTCTTGGGTCGATCCTGTGGATGGGCCCGCCACCTAATGCTTCCGCTGCTGTCCTGCCTTTCGCGCGCCCCGGGCGCGCGACGTGTTCTGCTTGCCGCGCGCTCGGGTGCACGGCGTATTTTTCATCCCGCCGCGCGCTCGGGGCGCGCGGCGGTTTTCTGCCCGCCGTGCGCCCCGAGGCGCGCGGCGGTTTTCTGCCCCGTCGATCCGCGCGTCGCCCCCCGTCGCCCGTCGCAGCGCCCCCGGGGACCCGCGCGTCGCCCGTAGCGGCCCGCGCGACCTGCGCCAGGCCCGCGCGCGGTCCGTACAGCCCGCGCGCGGCCCGTACGGCCTGCGCCAGGCCCGCGCGCGGCCCGTACGGCCTGCGCCAGGCCCGCGCGCGGCTCGTACGGGCTGCGCCAGGCCCGCGCGCGGCCCGTACAGCCCGCGCGCGGCCCGTACGGCCTGCGCCAGGCCCGCGCGCGGCCCGTACGGGCTGCGCCAGGCTCGCGCGCGGCTCAGGCAGCCCGCGCGCGGTTCGTCCGGCCTGCGCCAGGCCCGTGAGCGGCCCGTACCGTCTGCCCCAGTGCCGCACGCCGTCCCCCGAGCTTCTGACCGCACTCCTGTGTTAGGGTTTGGGGGTGGAGAGTATGGGGGTGCCGTGTGTGTGAGCCGTCCCCTGCTCCTCCTCCTCCTCCATCTCCCACTGCTGCAGCTGCCGCTGAGGGGGGTGGATGTGTTGGAGCCGTCGGAGTGGTACGAGGGGGGTGGCGTGTGAGCGGTGCTAGTGGTTCAGCAGGGGGTGTGTGAAAGGGGTGTGGGACAGTTGGGGGAGGTTGACCGGAGGTAGCCGACTTGTCGTCCGCAGCGCCTGAAGTCCAGAGAGCCACGACCCCCTGTGGCCGTGTAGTCCGGGGCTCTGCGCCCGGTAGCCACAGTGTGAGCACTCCTGGTAGTCCAGAGAGCCACGACCCCCTGTGGCCGTGTAGTCCGGGGCTCTGCGCCCGGTAGCCACAGTGTGAACAATCCTGGGAGCACAGTGAGCCAGCTGCGCCTGTCGCCGTGTAGCCCGGGTTTAGCCTGGTAGCGTCAGTGCTGCGCACTCCTGTTGCCCGTGTGTCTGCAGCTTCAGCCGTCGCCTCTCATCTTCTCGTCCTCCATAGTTTCTCCTCCTCCTCACTTGCCCTCTGTGATAGCCTCTAGCTTTGCTTATCCTTGTGAACTATTGGACTGCCTGCTTGTTGTGTTGATTGTACCCCACTTTGACTATGGGGGTGTGTCAGAATGTCGATGTTTGTCTAGCCTGCAGTGGGGTACTCTATAGCGAGTACAACCCAATTAGGGTTTCCTATATGTATCTCAACTGCTGCTAGTGAAAACCTCTCTTTCCTGTTTCTCGTTTTCGTCTGCTGTTTCGACAGATCTTTCAAGGCTAAGACCCTGAGTAGGAATGTTGTAATTGCGGAAGCGTTCTTAATGAACTGTTGAACCAACTTGCACTAGTCTGTGAGAGCAAGAGATTGATTATAGCAAAGCAATACAAGGCTTTACTGTTGCTGTTGCGGTTCGATACAGTGACGACTCGGGCAACTGCTCAGTATCGAGCCAGTTGTTTGTCCTTGCTGTCGCGCTGCCTTTGTCAAGTCAAAGGTCGGCGACCTTTGACTTTCGCGTAACCTCCAGCTGTTACGTTTGTCAACCTCCTTGGTTGACTCGCTGTTGCTTCACTGTAATCTGCCTCGTTTGCAGTTCGTTGTTCCGACACATCAGAAGCGTTAAATCACTTGTTTCCAACACTCCCCTTCGCTTCTGGAGTGTCGTTGCTGGTGACGTGGCCTTGTCCAGTCAGCAACATGCAGTACAAGAAATTATGCTTTCCGAGTTTCTTGGTCTAGTAATCAGCTGCCATTTCAGTTGTGGGGCAGTAGGACAGCTCGAGTCTCCCCTTCTCGATCTCGTCCTTTACGAAGAAATATCGCAGGGCGGTGTGCTTCGTACGATTCGCGAACCCGCTCTTGTTTGCTATGCAGATTGCTGGTTGGTTGTCGCAGAACATGGAGAAGCTGGGTAACTGAGCCAGCTTCGCTTCTTCCAGTAGTTCGCGGAGGTATAATCCTTCCTTGGTGGCTGAGCAGAGTGCGATATATTATGCTTCAGCTGAGGAGAGAGCAATTAGCTCTTGCTTGCTCGACTGCCACGAGATGGGGCCGATAGGTTCGAGTCGGTAGATGTAGCCGGTGCGCGATCGTCTGTTGTCGGAGTCGTCGGCGTGGTCAGCATCCACATAACCGATTAGCTTAGGCGTCGTAGTTCCGGTCTTGTGATAGGCTAGGCCGATCGTCGGGGTGCTGACGAGGTAGTGAAGTGCACGGTCGAGCTCCGCCATGTGCTCTATTTCAGGCTTCTTGAGGTAGGTAGCGAGTTGGCTCGCTGAGTACGATAGATCCGGTCGGCAAGTAACGGCTGCGAAGAGTAGACAGCCTAGTTTTCGTTGGTAGTCGCGAATGCCGGCGGGTTTGAGTAGAGTGGTCTTTTCCTTGCGGCTTCCGTCGGTGTAGCGATATGGTGTAGTGATGGCGGTTGGAGTTCGAAACGCTTGGCGATGGTGTCGGCGTATTTTGCGGCGCTGAGGTAGATTGCGCTTTCTCCGTCTTGTATGTTGAGTCCCAAGTATTGTGTCACGGTAGACGAGACGGTGAGCGTGAGGTCCCGCTGCAGCTCCCCTTCGAACCAGGTTGTGATGCCGTCGGTTGAGCCGATGTAGAGCAGGTCGTCCACATAGACGATGAGTAAGATGTAGTCGGCGCCCTTCGTAAGTCGGTACATTCCTTGGTCGTGTGGCAATTGGCGGAATCCGATGCGAATGAGTCGGGCGTGAAGGTACTGCTGCCACAGCCTCGGGGCTTGCTTGATGCCGTACAGTGATTTCAGCAGTTGACAGACTTGGTTGGGGTCTGCGTTAGAGCCGTGTGGTTGCTCGACAAAGATCTCGGCATCGACGGGGGCGTAGAGAAAGGCGTTGGCGACGTCGATTTGTCAAAGCTTCTTCCGCTTTATGGCAGCTATCGCGAGGAGAATTCGGAGTGATGTGTGTCGACTAACTGGAGCGAAGGTCTCGGTGAAGTCTCGTCCGTGTTCTTGGTCGAAGCCACGCACGACCCATCGTGCTTTGAACTTGTCAATGGTTCCGTCGGCTTTGGTCTTCACGCGGAAAACCCATTTTCCTGTGAGAATGGTTTTGTTGCGTGCCACTCCGATAGGTACGACTTTCCAGGTGTTGCGTTCTTCCAGTGCCTTTAACGCTCAGTCCATGGCTTCGCGCCATTTTTCCCTGTGCTCCCCCCCCAGAGCCTGCTGAACCGTTGCAGGCTCCTTTGGTGGCGCTGCTCCGTGGACGGCGGTGACGGGTCCCAGTATCTGCAGCCCACTCTGTGTGTAGCGGGGGAGTGTTGGATCCTCTGGATAAGCTGCTTCGTCTCCCGCTTCTGGATCAGGTAGGGAATTGGGCCCTATGCGTTCGGAAATGTTGGTGTCGACCGGGTGATGTGTAACATAACCGTTGTCAGCGAAGTCGTAGAAGACTTCGGCGTTGATGCTTTCGCGAGGGTCGTCGTCCATTGGGATATCCACCGAACAGTAGGAAAGAGGTCCGGCTTCTTCCGAAGCTCTGTCCACGTTCTGCTCGTCCCACTCAGCTCATCTGCTGCCGAAGCGAAGGCTCGGTCCCCACGAAA